ACCTTGAGAATGTATTCTCTTACTAAATGAGTAGCTTCTATAAATGCAAATGACTGCAAATGCTCTCCATCGCTGAAGCTAAAGAAAACCGAAATGCAGCACACTGAGCTGCCTTCCACACGTTCATCTGTGAATTATAATTAATACATTGAAATACAGCGGTTGTACAATCATAGTTTCACGTGCCTACAGATCCTTCACAGCTTTGCTACATCATTAAAACAGACAGACTTGGCCACTGCACAGAAAAAGATTTCGTCTGAGAGCTGAAGCAAGCAGCTGTAATGCATGGTAATGATGGAATAATAATTTTAAAAGCCTGGGTTTTTTAAACACAACAAAAACCTGACTGGGTCTACCAGAAGAAACGTTACACTGCTAACTGAAGTATGCGAGCTCTCCAGCATGGCATATCAGAAGCTGAGTCGCATGTTTACCTTGGACAGCTCAGACGTGTTAAGGAAAGCAGAGTGTTGCACAAGAAGAGATTCTTTGTGCCCCTGCGGGTAGCTCACCTCGGCATTTTCACTCTCTGATTTACAGCAATTCTTTCACAGAATTAACAACACTGCACCATTATTTCAGCACGTTCGATGCAGTTACTCGCCCAGCCTGTGTCAGTCCAAAGAACGATGATGCCCACAGCCAGTGATAGAGATGCTGCCATGTGGGGAGCGCATTTGGCAGGACGGAAGCCAAGTGACTTGGTTCTGTGTCCCACTTCACCAGAGAAATTAGAGGAAGATCACAGATGAAGCCTAAGGAACCTATTTCTTGGTCTGGAAATGTGCAAATTCTGGGTCAAACCCCTCTATCTGGGAAAGTAACAAAGAAAAACACCATCTAGAGCTTGACAAATTAACATTTCTGTTTTGAGAGAAACTCAAGATACTATTAATTTGAACAAAACTACTTCCAGCTGAAAGCATTAATGTCCATGCTTCGAGGGCTCAGTCCTGATTTTGATGCATTTCTTTAATATCTTTCATTCAAAAATACTATTACGTAGTCAGGAATGTCTTTTTTATCAAATTATTTAATAAAAACATGCTGAAGACATTAGGAAACATTTCAACACTATCATCATCATTAGTGTTTCTCATTTTTAAAACCACAGATTAGCATTCCTGATTTAACTAAGCTTTTAAATACTGTTTTGCATAGTATCTACATCAAACGATGATCTGTGAATGTACAGAGACATTTTGAACAAGTAAGTGACTGTCTCATATGCAAGTAAAAATTTTGTCACAGGGAAGTGTGCGCCTCTGTATGTGTTTTACACACGCATGAATGCAAACTATGGGGGTTTTACTTGATTTTTATTTAATTCCACTTGAAAAAAAATAAACTAAAACAGAATCGTCGTATCAAAAAATATTCAGGCTTAACATATAAACACCTACTTCTTACTTCACATAGTTTTCAAGAACTCGAAAAAGCAACACAGGCACGTACAACTTTGGTAACACCTGAAAATACACAAACCAACCCTGTCAGGGCACCATCATACGGACTGACAAAGCATTGAATTATGTACTTGAGAATACCGAAAATAAGTTTTTTGTCATTGAGGAATACAGGTTATTACTAAAGATCCTCTTTTTGAGAAGAGCTGTTTGTAGTAGCTCACTGAGACACCGTCTGCGAGTTGCCTGCATGGGGGGCTTTGTGTGCAGGAAGACTGTATAAACGGCGCTGGAATTTGGCAGAATGTTTCCAAACATCACCATTCACCTGTTTTTTCTTCCCTGTTTTCACTCCAGTAACATCAGCGCAGCTCTCCAGGCAGGTGGGGCTGGGAGACAGCACACCAGCAGTCAGGTTTGTGGAGTTAAGGATTTGAGGGGGGGGTCTTTTTTTTTTTTTTTTGGTAAGGTAAGACTGCAAGGCCCATAAGAGGGAGCTCAAACACAGCTCCGGCTGAAATCCCTGTAAACTAAGTGACTTTAACAATATATATTAAAAAAAAACAATCCTGAAAACCTGAGAACATCTCCAACTGAACAAGAACCACCTTTAACATGCAGCTCACAAGCTATGTCCAAATTGTCTTTAAAAATCTCACATTCTCTAGCGTTTGAAGAGTTCAGCACTAACTGTGTTATCCTGCAGGTTAATGTTTTGTTAATTACAATTTCAAAGGGCAGCGACAGCCTTGTATGAGTGAATACCTGCAACACAGCAAGCATCACTGGGCAGCGTTACAACAGAAATTGAGAGTAGGCCCTGGTAAACAACCCGTCCTTAAAACACAGAAATCAGTGCAGTTCTGAAATTCTATGCTTCACATAAAAAAAGGAAAGAAGCTGAACCACAAGCAAAATACAGGAGTCAACATCACACAGAAAAAAATCCTCCCCTTCTTCTCACCCACTTTGTTACTATGGGACTCACAGAAATCTCTGGATTATAAACACGAAGGTCCCACTCACAAGACAATTAAACAGCTCCTGTGCTTCTATCGGCCACCCACCTCCGCGACTCTCCACAAGGTCTCTGTCTCCCAGAAGAGCTGAAACGCATTCTTGAAATTGCCAGCTGAAAGATAGGACTTTATTGCTTCTAAGAATAGGGGAACACTTTTGAAACCAAAGCGATTTGTTTTTCAAAGAAATTCCTTTTTTGCCATTTGAATGGTCAGGACAATACAGAAAGAAGGAGTTAACATCATGCTCTGTTTTATCCTGGACAAGAAAGACATATCGTAACTTAAAAATCTCAGAGGAACCGAACAGCATAAATGCACAGAAGATGACCAAGTCAGAAACAGCATGTGTATGCACAAGAAATGGTGGAACAGTAGCTCTCTGCTTCTGTTAGGACCAGTAACTAACATGAAAAGAGACAAGATGGTAAACATTGCAAAAAGACAATTACTAATAATGAAAAGGCAACAAAAACTTTGGGCTGCTTCCACAAACTGAGTAACGCATTTTCAAACTGACAGCAAAGTGTTGGTTGCCAAATGAAAATGAGAGCAAACAGCAAAGTTGTGCTTAACCCCTTTTTGCTTTTATACTGCATTTTAAACACAGATGAAATCATGGAATTTAGAAGAAAAAGCCTACAAAGGAGACATTTTACTCAGCTATTTGGTCAGTGTTTCCATCACTTCAGTACCCAGAATCCTCAGAAAACTTATTCATCTTGGGTCCTTTTCTCCTTACCAGGTTCTTGAAAATAAGATGGGTTTCCATCTGCAAAACCTGGTCTGGGAAAACTCAGATTTGGGAGAAACTGAATTAGGATTATGACTTGTCTTGCAGAAGGTGAATGCTAAACCTAAGAGTTAACAGAAGGACAACCTGCAAATGCAGATTTCAAGAACTCTCAAAAATACCCAGCTCTTGAGTGGCAGCCAAGGACTGACCACCAAAAGCCAAAATCCCAGGGTACTGAGCCGTAAAAGCACAACAGAGATGCAAGAAACAAGATGACTCCAGCGACTGCAAACATCTCTAAATTGTTCTCACTCTGCTCTCAACTAAATCTAACAGTAACAGCATCCTCTATAAAACATCAACAAAGAATTTAGCATGAACAAAGCCTCAGCCTCACACCTTCCCAAGCAGGAGCTGACAGAAGCAGCATGCCTTTCTTTTACATATGACCAGCAGCAGCACCAATTCAAAACAAATATTTACCCTATCCTGACACAGAATGAAAGGAAATATTTTACTGCAAATCCAACGGTATGCTCTCTTGTTCCCACTCCTGCAAAGGTTCAGCCACAAACACAATGGTAAATTTTCTTTAAACGGTTAGAAGAGAAACAAAAGTGTTGATACAAGCAGGTGAGAAGAACCAAGCTCTGAGACCCCTGTATCTAAACCAGAAAAGGCATCTGATGCTCGGAAAGAGCATTCAGTATGCCAGTAATTTCTGCTGATGGGCTTTGCAGAGACATCAGAAGCCAGGGAGGATTTGGGAGTGCAGCAATTTGCACCTACGGCAACTGGAGTATAACAGGAACAACACAAGTGACGCCAAGTCCGGCAGCTCCCGCCAGGTCTCTGCGTGCCTCCCGTCCCGCACACCCCCACAGCTGGGAAGGCTGAAGGAGCAGGGGATGCTCCGCAGGGCCCTGAGGGAAGCGTTCCTTGGGCAAGTCTGGGGCCCCCCCACCCCAACTTGGGCATGTCCCAGGGTAGGGACTGGGAACCCCTGGGCCTGACCCAGGTGAAGAACTGGGAACCCCTTCAGATCCAGAGCTTGGCCCGGCACAAAGAACTGGGGACCCCCCCCCCCCGCCTCCTCAGACCCTGGGCCTGTTCAGGATGAGGAAGCGAGACCCCCCTCCTCCCCCTCCTCAGACCTGACTGAAGGAACCGGAGCCCCCCCCTCAACGCTGGGCCTGTCCCGGGTGAGGAACCGCGACCCTCCTCAGACGCATCCCAAGGGAGAAGGTGTCCCCCCCGACACAGCGCAGCCCGGGGGAACCCCCACCCAGCCGAGCCCGCTCCGGCGGAGACACGAGGGGGCCGCCGCGACCCTTCCCCGGAGATCCCGCCCCCGCCGCCAGGCCCTGCGCCGGGGCTCCACGAAGCGCACCTGCCCGCGCCGCCCGGGCCCGTCCTGCCCGGCGGCAAGTGCCGCTGCCCCGGGAAGATGCTCCGGCCCACGGGATGCACCGATCGGGCCCGGTACCGGAGAAACGGGAGGCGGCTGGGGGGGGGGGGGGGTGGTTACCGGGGAAGGAAACGGGGGGGGGCGCGCGGCCCCCCGCCCCGCGGGCACCGCCCGCCCCCGCCAGGGGGCGCTGCCCGCCGCCCCGCCCGCCGCGCGCCGCCGCTGCCCCCGGGCCGGGGGGCGCTGCGGGGGGCGGGGGGGGGCCGCCCCTCCCCGCACACTCCCCACACACACACACCCCCCACACACACACACCCCACGCACACCCCCCCCCTCCCCTCACCCCATCCCCCCGCCCCCTCCACCGGGGGCGCGCGCGACAGGGGGCGGCGGGAGCGCGGGCGGGCGGGCGGATGCCGCCGGCTCACCCGGTGGGCGCGGGTCAGGCTCAGGTCCTTCATGACCTCCTCGAAGGCCGCCGTCTCCTCCGCCTGCTTCTGGTTGTGCAGCGCGATCTTCTCGCTGAATTTCCGCGGGTTGTTCGAGGCCGCCATCTTCCCCCGTCCGCATCCCCCTCCCCGCGCCGGAGGGGGGGGGGGACGGAGGGGGGGGGCGAGGCGCATGCGCCGGGCGGGCCGGGCGGGCGGGCGGGGGACCGCAGGGCGCCTGCGCGGCGGCGGCGCGGGGCGGGAGGGGGCGGTGAGGGGGCGGAGGGGCGCATGCGCGGGGCTGCCGGCGGCGCGCGCGGGAGGAGGTGGTGGCCACCGCGCCTGCGCAGTAGAGGGGGGGGCTTCCCCCGGCGACGTGCGTGGGGAGGGGGCGCGCGGTGCGCATGCGCGCTCCCGGCGGGGCGCTGAGGCGGCGGCGGGGCTGGGGTTCCTCCGTTCCCCGCGTTGTCCCCGTCCCCGTCGTTGTCCCCTCCTGGGGAGGGGGCGGCTCGCTTGGGACCCCAGCAACCTCCTCTGGAACTGGCGGGCGCTGCCCCGGCCGGCGCCAGGCCCCACGCGTCGCGGCTGAGGGCGCTTCCCGCCCAAACTTGGCGCGGTCCTTAGCGACGCGTCCCGCATCCACAGCGCCGTGACCAGGCCTGGCCACGGGGCCAGGCTTCAGTGGGGGCTGGCAGGTAGAAAAAAAAAGGGGGGGGGTGTGCCTTCGTGTATCCTCGTTGGGCACTCAAACAGCAAACTCCTTACCCAGGAGTGGGATGTAAATCCCAAATCTCAACCCACGTATTTTTTAACCAGTGGTTTTAAAATCCCGATTTATTTTTTTTTTTTTCCTGCCTAAAGTTACTGGGAGGTTAGTTGGCTTATTTCAGAGGGGTTTTTCCCCCCTTGAGAAAATGGAGTCAGGAGACTTCCCTGAACAACCCAGTTGTTCAGCACTTCCTACAGACCCAGCCAAGCCATGAGGTGAAAAAGATACCCAGCTCCTATTCATCCCGCTAGCGCTGGGATGGAGCAGCGTGTGCAGCAGGGAAAGAAAGGGAGAGGAAAACAAGCTACAAATTCATTAGCAAGTCTTTTAAGATAAGCAACAGCTCTTACTCTGCGATTGCTGCCTCTTCCTGCAAGATAAGATACATGAAGCTGCAAAGACAGGTGATACCTGTACAGCGGCAATCTAGTACCAAGATACTGAGTAAAGGCATTATTTGTGGGAAGGGTTTAGGAATTGGGAAAGTCTCCCGTTTTCCTGGACTGATTATGTGTGTTGTACAGCGAAGCAGAAGATGCTACTGCAGCTCTGGTCTAAACTACGCAGAACAAAACGGTGTGGTCTTCCCACGCAAGCACGTCTCCACTGCCAAACTCCTGCGAGCGCCTCCAGCTCCACCCTTCTCCCTCTCCCGGGACGTCCTGCATACGCAGACTTCTTCCCAGTGAACCCGAACTCTATGTCAACACCACCAGAGACTTGTTCCCCCTCGCTGAGGAGTCAGGACCTTGGCCAAGGCAGCCGGTGCTGTGTGTGGGACGCAGCGGATCAGTCACAGGGACGGGATGACAGGCAGAGATGACCCTGCTGGGATGTGAGCGGGCAGTTCTAGGGAGTATAGCCGTTTCGAAACACAAGCTTAGGCAGCTAAGCCATTGATTCCAGCTGTGTTAACATCAGACGGGTGCAAAGCACTGCGATATGCAGGACGCATGCATTAGGCAGTAATAAATCCTGACAGTGCTGTTTCCCAACACCCACACGTTGCCCTTTGCGCTTTATTTTTTACAAAGCGACAGAGATAAAGTGGACACTCTCCTCTCTTGGTGCATTGCTCTGCCCATGAACAGCGCTTACTCCAGTCACCAAATCCTGCCACAGTTGAACTATCGGATCAAAGAAATTAGACTCAGCTCTCACTTCCACTGCTGATCACCTTTGTGGCCTTAGTTCAGTCAGTTTACCAGTCATTTATAAGCATTTCCTGCCCACGTAAAAATAAGAGATTATAATTATCCACCGCTGCAAAGCTGTTAAAAATGGATGGATGAAACTCAGTTCAGCAACTGTCAAGTTTAGTATTGGCCCCAAAGTCACATCCTACCCTAAATTCTACTTGCCAGCTTGCACTTAAAAGTTTATAACATGGTATGAGATACCATCGCAGAAAACAGAGCTGGGACTTAAAAGATCATCCAGGCCCTGGCAGGCTCAGCCCTTCCTCTGTCATTCCTGGCAGATGTTAGGCTAACCACTTCTTGCATTTTTCACCAGGAATAAACAACCGGCACGCATATTCAGTTAAATACCCTCTAGCTGTGTACATGAACAGCATATGACCTGCAAAATTGGCCTGTCATGCTAAAAGCATATAAATCATAAAGATTTAACACTAAGATACCTATTATCCACATTGGTTTTGCTCAAGAAGCGAGACGATGATAAATAATTTGTTGAGTTAGCCTGGATTTAATACCATAGGTGGTATTATCAACCATCTAGAGACCCAGGTGCCACTCTGCCTCTTCCATAGCACCAAAAGATTAAGTGCCTAAGATGAAACTTGATAAATTTTCCCCTCTTGGATCTCCTGAGACTGAAGAGTGAAATCTCCCCTCCGATGGCTGCTCCTGCTTGTGGTTTGCAGGGAAGGAATGCAGATGGCCAGGGAGGCGGGCGGAGGGGGTTACGACTTCCTCCTTTAAGAAGACTCCCTTTTCTTATTGTTTCGCCTGTGCAGCTTTATCAGATTGAATTCCAGTGTGCAAGCTGGACCCTGCTTCTGTTCTTTAATTCTCCGGTTTTAAAACAGTTTGCGTAACAAACGTCCCTTCAATACAACATTTGTGTTTGCCGAGTTGCTTCTGGAATTTCTCACCCACTCACAGCTCCACGTTTTTGGGGTGTGGGTGGATCTGAATGGCTGCTAAGTGCATGACCTAGTAGACAATGTAAATCTTGACTGCATTAAGACATTGGCAAGGAGACATTTTAGATGTGTGCCAGGTTTCCTTCTTCCTCCACCGAAGGAGATATACCATGCATTTGACAAAATGATGAGCTCATACCATAAGTATTATTTATGTCTCCTGCCGTCTTCACCTTGAGCACATGTGGGGCCATGTGAGAACAACTCGCTCTCACTAGAAAGCTGTGATGGGATCCCCTGAGACAGCAGCTCTATCTTCCCCAGCCTTCCAGACGTGTTATGAAAAAGTTTCTTGTAACTGAGAATCAGAGCTTTGCTCTGAAGCAAACAAAGAGTCATTGGAGGACCGGGCTGTTGTGTTCACATCTGCTTTTGCTGCAAACAACTCCTTACTGAGCAACCTGCAGCTTCTTAGAGCAGATGCAGCCCAGAGCAAGCGGGTTGCAGGGAGGAGGTTGTGTTTACTTATCACTTGTTTGTTATCCTCCAGGTCCTTTGGAATTGCTCTGGCAGACGAGATCCAGCTACTTCCCTATTCTCCCTTGGAGGCTTCAGAGGAAGGTGTGAGGCTGAACAACTTACACACCAGCAGACAGCATGAGATTGTGCTTTGATCGACAAATAAGCTGATATTATTTTTGCCTACAAAGATTTTGATCTCTCACACTTCCTACTTAATGTTCCTGTTGACGTTCCCATTATCCTCAGAGAAGAATATCCTGTGAAGTCCACAGACTCCCTCCTTCCAATGCTATTTTGAACCGAGCTCCAAATGGTGCTTTCAGTGGGAAAACGTCCTCTTGTTTTACTTGGAATTTGTGACCATTTCTTTAATTTAAGATATCCTTGTTTCCAGAGGGCAGATAAAAGCACCTGAACTATTCTCTCTACACCCCACTCATCAAATCTGATGAGCAGTCAAAGCAAACCAAGTTGCAGTCACACAGAAAGCTTCGTTCTGCTCTCTATACCAATATTCCCTTGTCATCCTTCCAGTTTAGTTTCTTTACCATTCCCTGTAAATTCTAAAACTACAGAAAGCAAGCAAACACTGACTGCTAAAAGATATTATTCTCATTTCTACAAGTCATATCTTCTGGTGCTCTGAAATACTTTGGCAACCACACAGAGGATTCTGTTACGGTTATTTTTCCCAGAATCAAGGCTTGGCTTTGTGCCACACTGAAGCAAGAAGTATTCCCATGATGCTGAGGTGATGTGGTGAGCCGGTAAAGCGGCAGCCACTTTATGTCTTTCCAAAGATAACACATGGATAGTAGGCAAAGCATCCTATGCGGGTATTAACTAAGAAGTGAGGCACCAGTAAGAACCGTGCACTTTACTGAAACAAACAGGAAACTGGGAAATACTTTTTTACCACTAAGAGATTACACCATTGCAAATCAAACTGTAGATCAAAGACGCATATCAGAGAGCAAGATGTTTCTTTCCATAGCCTTCTGTCAAATCCAAGTTCAGAGAATTTGATGATATTCTATATATAAAGTAGCAGAAAATATTTTTCTTTTAAAACCTCATGGTTCAGCTTCAGAGACTTGTGCTAAAAAGGTCACAAGTAACAGATTTAAAATCCAAAGTTTTTTGTAGGCATTTTCTGAGTGCTTGTGTATAATAAAGCAGTTATAGGGTAAGAAACAATCCCTGGTGTGAAAACGCACAGGGATTGGGCCTTGTCCTGCTCTCTCTTATTGTACTGCAGCAAAATAAATATAATACTATGAACCATTAGCTCCGACTTCCATAGAGTCAACTACCTGCCTACTCCTCTGGTTCACATCCCAGTGCAAAAGCAACATCTGCTATTTCCATGCCTTAGGACAGATGTTTACCTGCAAGTTAAAGGCTCGATTTTCATACAGAAGATATTAAAAAAAAAAAAAAATCTAAGGGTGAAGGAGAACTCAGTGTGTTTTTTTGCAGATGCAGGGAATTTTTGCATGAAAACCTGAAGAACAGTTAGACAAACATGCCAGCCAAATTCAGGCACCTCCTGAGTTTCAATCATTTCACTCTCAGTAATGTAGGAACATTACAGAAATTCGATTTCTCAGCAGGGGACTGAGCAACCACCACAGCAGTCCTGTTCTCGTGTCTTCTGGGACTGAGCTGTTCTCTTTGCCCCATGCACACCGATTCTATTTGCCCACCAAATGAACGAGGGGTGCAAATGCAGCACAGGTGACGTCTCTGTGAGGACTGCTTTG